CTGTAATACTTTCAAAAATAAAGATAAATTTTAAAAAATAAAAAAAATAGAAGGGTACTAAAAGGGGCCATTTCAGGGGCCTGGATTTCTCCGTCATGGAACCGAGATTCTGGGAGGTGGCCTAGGTTGGAGGTGGCTGAACCTGGGACAGAAGGAAGCTAACTGGGCAGTGCCCCCAGCTCCCTGGGGCCTTACCAGTGCCATTGGTTTTCACAGCCATTTGGTGCAGGAGCACCATCTCCTTGAGCAGGTGGATCTCGTAGTCAGTATCAGGCTGCAAGTCCCACTGCGTGTAGGACCTCTGGTTGTAGCTGACATACTGTGGCGGGATGTAAGTGTCCACCTTCTCATCTGCAGGGGCGAGAGGGCAGCAGAGATGAGTGGGAGTGCCAGGCTGCACCCTGGCTCCAAACTGCCCTCAGCCCCTCTGGGCCCAGAGCCCCTTCCCCTCAAGAGGAACCATTTGTGCTCACCCCCCCGGGGTTTGAACCAGATCTGGAAACCGAAGTTGCACTGGCCCTCTTTGGGGACCCAGGAGACCACGCTGTAATTCTCGCCGGCCATGGCCGAGATGTTGCCAAAATCCGGGGTCCCTGAGGAGCGAGAGAAGGGTGTGGGACATCGAGGCAGCTTAAGGTTTGCCCTCTTGGGCCTGGCTGCCTGGCAGGGCCTCCTCAGCTCTTCAACCTTACCAGATAAGGCCATGGTGCCTCCTTTCCGTACAATGGCCTCGCCAGGGCCTTCTTTCGTGGTGGCCTGCAGCCGGAAGCGGTACTGCAGGTGGGGGCTAAGGTTGGTCAGGTTGTACGTCCGTAGCTCAGGGTCTGAGAGGTTGAAAGACAACTGCTCCTTGCCCCCGTCGTCCACTGCAAGGACAGGCAAGGAGGCAGTGATCTTTGACAGACAGCTCTACCCATGTTCCAGCTCCCCTCCAGCTCCCACTCAGGCTGGGCTGGGGCTCTGGGCCCACCACATACGTACATGGGTGGTAGGAGAGCACAAAGCCAGTGAGCACGCCATTGTGGCTGAGCGGAGGTTGCCAGTGCAGCAGCAGGCTGGTGTCGGACTGGCACTCCAGGTGCAATGCCTCAGGGTGGCCGGGCACTGCAAGGCACAGAGACAAGCAGCAGGTACTCACCCAGGCTCACCCTGGGACAGAAAGGAGGGGCTGGGACAGGGGCACAGAGTGTAAATCTCACCTCCCTCTGGGGTGCTGAAGGTCGTTTCACTGGCAGGCCCCAGTCCCCGGCTGTTAAAAGCCTGCACCTCCAGATGATAGGAGCTATAGGGCCGCAGGCCTCCCAAGATGGTGCTGGTGGTGTTGGCAGGCACCACCACGTGGCTTTTGTGGACGTGCCTTTTGCTATGCTTCCTTTGACTGCCCTCCCACCAGTACGTCACCTGCAGATGGACAAGAGACCCCGTAGAGGCAGAAGGCATCCAGCAGCGACTCCCAGGTACATGCTACCCACTTTCCTCACAACCCAAGGACTTCCAGAAGAGCAGCTGGCAGGTGGCAGAGGCCTACCTCCAATCTTCTCTCACTTTTAGTGGCTTTACGCCTCACCCTGGGATCGCCCCACCTCCCACACCTTGGACCCTTACATTGTATCCGCGGAGGTGGCCGTTGACCTGGGCTGGATCCACAGGCCACCACTTGACTAGCACAGTGCTCGAGTTGAGGATTTTGATGTCTTCCAGCTTAGGTCTTGCCTGGGGATCTGGAAACAGTGTAACACAGATGAGGGCCTGTGGCATCCTGAGGCCAGCCCAGAACCCTTCCTCAGGGGAAGATGGATTTGGATACTCTATGGGGAGCAGGCAGTTTGAGGGGCAAGGCATTCGCATGGCCTCAGGGTCTCTGCTTACAGACTGTTTATTAGTTGCAAGGCAGAAAATAGCAACTACAGGGAAGAGTAACCAGAGAAGATCTTGACCAGGTGATCAAAATGAACATCTGATAATGTTCCAGATTCAAGGGAAGGAAAGCAGCAGGACAACCAGACCCGATGTGGGATCCTGGACTGGACCCTGGACTGGGGGGAAAGACAGCACTGACTGATATAATTGGAATATCGACTGCCAACTAGAGAAATGTATCGATGGTAACTCTCTGAACTTTCATAATGGCACTTTGGTTATGTAAGGCAATATTCTTACTCCCAAGAAATGCACTATTGAGAGGCAAGGGCTGGGTGTGCAGTGCAGGGGGTGGGCTGTGAAAGTGCACAGGGGCTCCACCCTGCTACTCACAGTCTTCCCCAGAGTAGCCAATGGTGACCTGGGGCTCGGGGCCCTTGCCCTGGCTGTTGATGGCTTGGACCTTGATCTCATAGGGCACAAAGGTGGAGGTGTTGGACACCACCAAGAAGGGGTCGATCACGATCTGTTCCTGCCAGGCCCCTTGTGTCCCCTGAGGGCGCCACTGCACACGGTACTGAACCTGCGGGGCATTCCAGTCCATCCACCTGAGTGGCTGCAGGGGGCAAGCAGAGGAAGAGCTGGTCAGCCAAGAGCAGTCCCATCCTGTGACCTACCTCCACCCAGCCTCACATCCCCAGTCATCCTTTGGTCCTTAGTACAGCCAGGGGGATCAGCAAACATGTGGGTCCTGGCATGATGTCCAGGGGGAGCTCAGCCCAGGTGCCCTCACCTTCCAAGTGATGACCATATTGTTGGTCTCGTTCCCTTCCCCTTTCACTTCCACGGGGTTCTTCTCTGGGGCTGGAAAGTAACGTGTTGTTAACATATCAATGCTGTGGGCTCCTGCTTAGGCAGTGAAGGTCTGAGGACCAAAGAAGAAATCGCCCATTCTGGCCCTGGAAAGCAGGAGCCAATAGCCCCAAGGGAACCCTACCCCCAGCTCCCTCTGGAAACCTGAAAGCAGAGGAGCTTGGGCACAGTTACCTCTGCAGGCCCTCCTTGCAGAGCCCGGGGACCCTGGTGTCTGAGACCCCTCCCAGGTATCTCACCTGCTTCAGGTGTGACCACAGTCTCAGAAGCGGGGCTAGGCTCCCCAGGGCCATATTTGTTGATGGCAGTAACTCTAAAGGTGTAGTGGACATAAGGTGACAGCTTGAGGGTGGTAGAGGTCTGGTTCCCAGGCACCTTGCCCAGACTGTACCATTTCTCAGGAGCCATCTCCTTGTCTTCAAATTCAATGTCATACTCTGCAAAAAGAAGTGAATTGGAAATGGAGTTATCTGTGTGTGGCATGGGGGAGGGGTAATGTGGGTCTAAGTCTGGCTCTCCCAGAAGGAGGGAGTGCCCCAGGCAACTAGTATTCTTGAACTTGCATGAGGAACCATGAGCCCCAGCTAGGTGGCATTCATGGAGCCAAGGTCCCTGGAGGAGGGAGGGCTAGCGAGGGTGGCAGTGGAGGAGGTGAGTGGCATCATGCTCAAGCCTCTTACTCTCAATGGGGGCGTTGTGGTCATCAGCGGGGCTCCAAGACAGGCGCACCTGGCTCTGCTTCAGCAGGTGACGATCGGACAGCTCCAGCTGAGGCACGGGCCCAGGGCTCCCTGAGGGCCATGGAGGGTGGGTTCTCTGGCAACTTGTTTGAGCCAAAAGACCCAACCCCCAGCTCAAAGGGTCCTGTAATGTGAACCTAGACCTCTGTGCTCCAAGGCCAGTTGCTCCCCATGCCTCCAGGCCACAAGCCTGTTACCACCCTATGACTCACCCACCACCTGGAGCTCTGCCTTGCTTTCCACAACATCCAGCTTTGTGCTGGCCACACAGCTGTAGTTGCCCTGGTCACTGTAGTCCAGGCTGTAGATGACCAAGTGCCCATTCTCTATGAAGTACCTGGCAGGAAGGGGAGGGAATGCTTGTCCTTATGCTCCTGGTGGAGCCACCACTTTCTACCATCTGTGCTCTGCTCCCTTTCCCTCCCTCTCCTGCCAGAACCTTCTCCCTCAAAGCAGGGGCGCTCCGCCCATGGATGAGGCCAGGTCTGGACATTCTGCTTTTCCCACACTGCCCCCTTCCACTGAGCCCGCACTTGTCACTGTCCCCAAGCTCCTGGAGGTTGCGACCATCTCTGCGCCAGGCGATGTTGTGCTGCAAGGAGGGGTCAAAGGAGGCCTGGCAGGTGAATGTCACTCTGGAGCCTTTCTTCTTGATTGTGTTCTGGGGCCCCTGTGTGATCTGAGTGGCATCTGAGGGCAATGATGGGAAGGGAGGGTCACTCTGGTGTCCTCCAGAGACCCTATCATCCCTTCTGGAGGTGCTAATCACATGGGGTCACCTGACCTTTGACTTGCAGGTTCGCCACAATGGTGACATTGTTTTGGTCATTGGCAGCCTGGCAGAAATAGTGTCCTGTGTCGTTGGCCTGGAGGTCTCGAATGCCCAGGGTCCCGTTGGCGTAGGGGAAGAAGCGCTCGTCCTGAAGCACGGTCTTCCCTTCCTTGTCCAGCCTAGCACAAGCAGGGTGGGCCTGGTTCAGTCTCCCCGAACTGCTCCTCTGCCCCCTGGCTTCCTAGGCCAGAAAAAGGTTTAGACCATCCCAGCAGGGGTGGAGGGACTTACCACTGGACACTGGGCACAGGGGCTCCAAAAGCTTTACACAGAAGGTAGGCAGTGCTGCCCTCGACTGCCAAATAGGTCTCATTGTCTGGGGTCAGGATTTTGGCTGGCAGCTCTGGAGGAAGAGGAGTCATGGGAGACAGAGCAGGAGGGCAGATTCAAGGCTGGGCAAGGGAGCCGTACTCATCAGGCTTTCCTGTGCCCAGCTCAGGCCCCCACCAGACTGAGCCTCTCTCTGCCTCGAATGTGCCTCCCTATCCCAGACACCCAAATTTTACCAATGTCGAGGCCCCACTGACAGCCTACTTCTTCCTGAATGCCTTCCTGGCCCAGCCCCCATCTTCCCTGAGGCCCCAAGAGAGGAGCCACCATGCTGGCCTTGGCATATCCTGGCCAGGATGAAATGAGGTGAGCCAGACCACTCTCTAAAAGGCTGCTCTTTCACCTGCCCTTCCTCCACACCCCTGCCCTGCTATTGTGAGGATAAGAGAGAGAGAAAGGGTGAAGGGGCCCGGAGATAAGAAAGGCAGCCATGGTAGACAAACCAGCTGCTGGCTGAGTTGGCCTGGTGGGCTGCAGAGACAGACTGGGGGTCGTGAGGCACAGAGGGGAGGGCAGGTCAGCCTAGGTTGTTGGCACTCACGGACAACATAGATGTAGGCATTAGCCAGCAAGAGCCCATGCCGGTTGCGGGCCTCGCATTGGGTCACCATTGTGTCACTGGGCTGCACGTTGCTCAGGATCAGGGTTCCGTGCTGGATCCGGTACTTCTGGTCCTTGGTCAGCTCTGTGCATGCGGCAGGTGGGTCCACAGGCCAAGGCAGAGGAGTGAGTCACGCTGAGGCCCCTCCTCACCTTCCTCTTCCTTCCTTGTTCCCCAGGGCTCCCCATGCTCCCTGCCCCTGTCTGAGGCCCTCTCACCCTCCACAGGGATCCCGTTGACTCTCCAGGTGACCTCTGGTTCAGGCCTGCCTTGCACTTGGCAGTCCAAGCGAGCAGTCTCCCCTGGTCCATACAAACGGCTCTGGGGCTTGTGTAGCCAGTAAGGGGCAGCTGCAAGGAAGGGGAGAGCTGCCCTGAACCCGCAGCCTGTAGCCAGCTCTTCCCCTGGCCCAGATCCCTCTGCTTCCCCCCCCCCAAGTGACAATGGGCATCGTGAATGTCGTGAATGTCGTTAGTCCCCAGAGGCCTTTTTTTTTTTTTT